TATATATTATATACATTATACATACACCATGTATACAGTATATATGTATATATTTATATATATACGTATATATATTATATATATAATATATATAATATATACAATATATATATTATATACATATTATATATTATAAATAAAGTATAATTAACTGCTTTGTTCGTTCCTTTTTTTTTTTCCTCTTTTTTTCTTGGGGCTGCATGCAAAAGAAAACGTCTTCTTATAGCGACACTGCATATACATAAAATACATATTTATTTATATGTATATATCTATCCTCCTTATTTATATACAATATATAATATATATTATATAATATATATATAATATAGTATATATATGTATATGTATACATAAATATATATGTATACATATACATATATGTATATACGTAATAATGTTGTATATATACATACATAATATATATAGATGTACATACATATACACAAACATACATATCCCTAATATAAATAAATAAATATATATATAATTATATATATAATTATATATAATTATTTATTTATTTACTTATTAGGTAATATGCAAAAAAAGACACCTAAGCACAAACACGCAGAATACGTCAAGAAAAGTCCCCCTTATGCATGCATGCATGCAGCAGCAGCCTGCTGCTGCTGCTGCTGTTGCTGCATGCTGTTCTTGCTGCTGCTCCTGCTGTTGGTCTTGCTGCTGCGCCTGCTGCTGCTCCTGCTGCTGCCGTTGCTGCTGCTGTTGGTTGCATGCTCCGGCCGCTGCCTGCATGCCGCTGCGTGCATGCAGGTGCGCATGCCCGCATGCATGCATGCATGCAATGCATGCATGCATGCATGTAAAGGAAAAGAAGTAAATAATTCTCAATAAGGAAAGGAGGAGACACCTTGAGGTGTCTATACACCCCAAAGGAGACACAAATAACGAACTTTTATTAATAATACAAGGAGGAGGTAATAATTAGTTATTAATATATATGTATATATATATGTATGTATATATACATATACATATACATTATATATAATATATATAATGTATATATACAGTATATGTATATTTACATTATATGTATATATATTATAATGTATATATACATAATATATATATGCATATATATAACATATATATGCGTATATATAATGCACATATACATTATATACATACGTATATATACGTATATATATATTTATATGTATATATGTAGGCAGATAAACATATACACATAATATATATATACATATATAATATATATACATATATATTATATATATATACATATATATAATAAATATGCATATAATATTTATATATACATATATATGTACATATATAATATATTTATATATATTATATATATATACATATATATATGTATATATATAATATATATACATATATAAATATAATTAATACGTAATAATACAGCAGATAAAGAAAAAGTGCATAAAAGGGAAAAAGACACTTATTTAATTGGGGTGTATGTACAGCACAAACTGTACTGTCATATCCACCCATTTTGCTGCTTGCTGCTGCTGCTGCTGCTGCAGTTGCTGCTGCAGTTGCTGCTGCTGCTGCAGGTGCTTCTGCAGATTCTGCAGCAGCAGCAGCAGCAGCAAAAGGCAACTCAAATCCCCACAACAAAACAAACAAACAGACAAACAAACTCCATGCATGCATGCATGCATGCATGCATGCACGGTGTACGTGCTCCTCCTGCTGCTCCTCCTGCTGCTGTTGCTGCTGCTGCTGTTGCTGCTGCTGCTGCAGATGCTTGCTGCATCCATGCAGCAAGCAGCAGCCTCCCTCAACCAGCTGCTGATTTCCCTCCATGAATTCCCCACCAGCAGCTAGCAGCTGCACAACTCTGCTGCTGCATGCATGCATGCGTGCATGCATACACCTTCGCATGCATATAGTATTATGCATGCACCTACGCATGCACGCATGCATGCATGCATGCATGCATGCATGCGTAGGAGGTATAGGGTATATATATAAGACAAAAACAAACAGCCAAGACAAGAAATGCAAACAAACAAACAAAAGACAAGAAAAGACAAAGGAGACAAGACACGCGTGTCTTTATAATTAATAATAATTAATAATAATTAATTAATAATAATTAATTAATAATTAATAATTAATAATTAATAATTAATAAATTAATTAATAATTAATAAAGACAGGAAAAAAGAATATAATTATTTATATTATTATTATGTCTTTGCAAGCCCTCACAAACATCGTCTTCTTGCTGCTGCATGCATGCATGCATGCATGCATGCATGCTTATATATATATAATAATTCCTCCTCCTATTATTCCTCCTCTTGTTGCTACTGCTGCTGCTGCTGCTGCTGCTGCTGCTGCTGCTCCTTAAGAAAAACTGCGGGCAGAACGGGGCCCTCAGCTCGAGGCCTAAATGCCATAGAAGCGGAATGATGCATGCAACCCATAAATAGCAGCTGCAGCAGCAGCAGCAGCAGCAGCAATATCCTGCTGCTGCTGCTGCTGCCGCCGCCGCTGTTGCTGCTGCTGCTGCTGCTGCTGCTGTTGCTGCTTGCTGCCGTAGCTCTTGTTGTGTGCAGATCAATCGGGCATAGCGCGCGCTCTCTTGCTGTTGCTGCTGCTGTCCCTATTTAACCTGCTTCACCTGCTGCACACTCTGCTGCAACTGCTGGCGCTGCTGCTGTTGCTGCTGCTGCTGTTGCTGATGCTGCAGTAATGTGTACGTCCAGCGGGGTATCCTTGTTGATTGTGCTGCAGGTGGGGGGCCCCTCAGCTGCGGGGGGGCCCCCATCATTACTAAGAACGGCAGCATCGTTGCTGCTATTATGTGTTGCTTCCTTCCCATAGCCCTCAGTCGGTGGCATGTTTGCTGCTGCTGCTGCTGCTGCTGCATCTGAAGCAGCAGCAAAGGATCTGCTGCTTCCTGCGGGAGCAGCAGATCCTTTTGCTGCTGCCGTCAGATCAGTAGCAGCATCGCAGGGAAGAAACCCGCGCTGCAGCGCCCACTGTGGGTCCTCGGTATTCTGCTGCTGCTGCTGCTGCTGCTGCTGCTGCACTACAGAAACTGCTGCTCCATCTGCGGGGACAGCCCCAGAGGCAAAGGCGAACGGGAGCACCGGGAGGCTGTTGGGGCCCCCATTGGGGGCCCCCAAAGTAGGGCAAGCCCATGCAATACAGCTGCTGCTGCTGCTGCTGTTGCTGCTGCTGCTGCTGTTACTGCTGTTGCTGTTGTTGTTGTTGCTGTTGTTGCTGCTGCTGCTGCTGCTTGCTTCCGCACTCCCCCAAAACGAGCTCAACGGCTCCTGCAGCAGCTGCTGCACCGGAGGCTCTCCGTTGCTGCTGCTGCTGCAAAAGCCAACATCTCCTCCTGTCAACAGCTGCTGCAGCTGCTGTTGCTGCTGCTGTTGCTGCTCGGTGGCCGAATCGAATAGGGTGCAGCTTAGTTGCTGCTGTTGCTGTTGCTGTTCCTGCTGCTGCTGCTGTTGCTGCTGCAGCAGGAAACGATCATACAATGGGGCCCCTTCAGGCCTACGAGAAAGACAAGGACTTAATAGAGGCAACGCCGAGCTGTCCTCAGGGTAAGACGGGTACTGCTGCTGCTGCTGCTGCTGCAACTGCCGCTGCTGCTGCAACTTATGGCGCTGCTGCTGCAGCTTCTGGCGCTGCTGCAGCTGCTGCTGGCGCTGATGCTGCAGCTGCTGCTGCTGCTGTAGCTGCCGCTGCAACTGCTGTTGCAACAGATGTTGCTGCAGCAGCTGTAGCTGCTGCTGCTGCCGCCGCGGGGTCCAAGCGGGACCCAATCCTGCTGCTGCTGCTGCTGCTGCTCCTGCTCCTGCTGCTCCTGTGCCGTGAGGAGGCAGAGACAGGCAGCCCAATGAGCTGGACGCCCCTCCAAGCATCTGCTGCTGCTGGGGGCCATTGAACCGTTGCCGCGGCTCCTGTTGCTCGTGCAGCTGCTGTTGCAGCAGATGCTGCTGCAACAGTTGTTGCTGCTGCATCAGCTGTTGCTGCAACAATTGTTGCTGCAACAGTTGCTGCTGCTGTTGCTGCTGCCAGGGGTTCTTGCACCCGCTGCCCACCTGATGATTACTTGCTGCTGCAGCTCCCCGCTGCGGCGGCTCCCGTTGCAAATATGTCTCCGGCGGCAGCAGCAAGGGCTGCTGTTGCTGCTGCTGCTGCTGCGGGAATATACTAGTCCAAGAATGGGGCAGCAACGCTTGCTGCTGCTGCTGCTGCTGTTGCAGGCCCTGCAGCAGCGAGTAGCAACGCTGCTCCAAACTTCCATGCGGGAAATCGGACCCATGCAGCTGCTGCTGCGCCTGTTGTTGTTGCTGTTGTTGCTGCTGCTGCTGCTGCAAGAGGGGTAGCAACAATCTGTCCAGTGCCTGCCCCGGCTGCTGCTGCTGCTGCAGCTGCTGCTGCTGCTTACGCGGGCGCTGCGTTGCCAGGGGCCTGCTTGTCGGATTGGCGTCTGTCTTACCTTGCTTCGAATTGAATCCTAGGGAGCAGCAAACGCCATCTAATTGCTGCTGCTGCTGCTGCTGCTGGTGGTCGTGCTGCTGCTGCTGCGGCTGATGATGATTATGCCCGATGCTGCTAGTTGTAGTGCTGCTGCTGGTACTGGGAGCAGCAGCTGCTGCTCCTGCTGCCGTCCCTGCTGCTGCAGCCTCCCGTGCCTTTAACAGCGACGAGAGCTGCGACAGACCAGCAGAAGAAGCAGCAGCAGCAGGGTCGCCGGTACTTAGGGTATCAGCAGCAGGGCGTGCTGCTGTTGCTGCTGTTGCTGCTGTTGCTGCTGATGAGGTCCAAGAAGCAGCACCAGTTTCTATGGTGTGCGTAGATGCTGAACACCAGCTGCTGTTTGTGCTGTTGCTGATGTTGCTGCTATTGCTTACGTTGCTGCTGTTGCTGCTGTTGCTGCTCTTACCACTGCTACCGCCGCTCGTCTTGCTGCTCTTGCTGCTGTTGCTGCCTGCCTTGCTGCAATTGCTGTCATCTTGCTGGGAAAGCACGGACTGATGCAGCAGGAGCTGCGGCTGCTGCAGCAAATCCTGCTGCTCCAAGCCCGTGCAGCTATCGCCCCCTACCTGCAGCAAGGGGTCACCGTCAGGCCCTAAGCAAGTGGCTGCTTCTGCTGCTGCTGCTGCTGATGCAGCAGATGCTGTTGTTGTGTCTCCTGATCCTTGGCCTGGCGGGCTGTGCCCCGGTGGTGGCAGCTCCAGCTGCTCGTCTAGCTGCTGGTGCTGCTGCAACTGCTGCTGCTGCTGCAACGGCTGCTGTTGTTGCAGCTGCTGCTGCAGCTGCTGTTGCAACTGCCACTGCAGCTGCTCGTGCAGCTGTTGCTGCAGGGCTTTGCCCACAGCTGTTGCTCTATCATCCTGCGGTTGCACCAGCTGTAGCGGATGCTGCTGCAGTAGCTGTTGCTGCTGCAACTGCTGCTGCTGCTGCCGCTGCTGTTCGCGCAGCAGTGCAGCCACAGCAACAGCAAGATCCGCAGCAGACGGGTTCCTGCCGGAGTTGCCAAGTTGCTGGCGCTGATGCAGGTGAAGCTGCTGCTGCTGTTGCTGCTGCTGCTGCTGTGACTGGAGCAAGTGCTGCAGCAGGTACTGCTGTTGCTGTTGTTGGTGCTGCTGCTGCTGCGGCTGCTGCAGGGCCTCCGCGGGAGGCTCGTCGACCGCTAGGGCGGACCCAACTCTGCTTGAGGGATCAGCGGACGCTAAGAGCTTAAGGGCTGCAGCACACACACAGCAGCAACAGCAGCAAGGTATATCAATAGGTGCATTCTGCGGGCTGCAGCAGATTGAACAAAAGAAGCTGCTGCCGCTGCAGTTGTTGCTGCTGCCGCATGCATCGAAGCAGGTCGGTGTGCGTCAGTGGTGTACAGCGGCATGGCACTGCAGCAGGAGCAGCAGCAACACCAGCACCATGAAGAGCATCAACAGCAGCATAAACAGGACCATTAGCAGCAGAAGCAGCAAGCGCAGCAAGACCAGAAGCAGGCTAGGCACCAGACGAAGGAAGACGAATGGAGAAGCAGGAGGAGGAGGAGGGAGGAGGAAGAGGAGGAGGAAGGCAACATGCACCAAGGAAGCATGTATGTATATATAAAAATATAGGAATAAAAGAGTATAAAGAATAGAAAAAGGTTAAAAAAAGAAGTAAAAAATAGTATTTAATAATAGAATAGATAAGAAGATATACAAGGAAGATGTATATATTTATATATGAGCATATTGTATAATTACCCATATGTTTATGGATAACACGTTGGACAGAAGAACGAGATCGAGCAATTAGACGAGAAATCTGTCGTATAGAGGCGCCTTGCTCGTGGCAAAGAATCATGCAGCGTCTTTCTGCCTCTGATAAGGAGGTGGGCCGGTGCATCTTTCTTAGGGGTCATGAGAGGGAAAAAGAGGAAAAAAGCTCCTTTTTTACATTATAATAGGGAAATATTCCCTTTATTAACCCCTATTTATTGCCGCTGCTGCTGCACTCACTCAATAAACACCCAAAATATAACGCAGCAACCACCTACAAGGCAACAGCAACGGCGGCAACATTTGCTCGCGCCTTTCATTCAATACGCAACAGCAGCTACAACAGCAGCAAATACAACAACAGCAACAGCAGCAAACTGCAGCTACAGCAGCAAACCCCCTCAATTCATGCAAGAAACACCCTACAGACGCAACAAACGCCTAAAAAACAATCCACAGAAATGCCTCAAAAATACATCTTTCACAACCCCTTTGCCTCACTGCAACAACTGCAGCAGGAGCGGCAGCAGCAGCAGCAGCAGCAGCAGCAGCAGCCTGGGGCTACAACATCATACATACATACAATTACATACATATACACCCCATCCGCCGCAGCCAGCAGCTCCTGCTCCTCCTGCAGTCCATATTTCTCTTCTTTTATCCATACATAATGCATAAATATTATCATAAATCTATTTATTCTAATTTTATAAAAAAGATCTAATTAACCGATAAACATGCACTACCCCAATACTATATATATACCCTCCTTCTTCTTGCCTCCACTGTTGTGGCGTGCCCCCCTTCCTGCTGCTGCTGCAGCAGGTCCACGTCGCTGCTCCAGCTACTCCTGCAGCTGCGCATCTAGAAAAAACTATTTTATTTAATTTATATTTTAATATACTCCTTTATAGCCAACATTTACCTACAAATGGGGAAGCAGCAGGCTCTATGAAATGCACCACGAAGGGCCCAGTGTTGTCAGGGACCTCGATCGAAGAGGATGAGCGTCGTCATCAATAGTAATGCAGTTAAACGTTTCACTTTATAATTCAATTAAAAGATGCTCTAATATACACTCCAACCTCCAGGAGTACTGACCTCAGCAGCCGAAAGCACGAGGATGCCCCCAGGAGGACAAGAGGGAACTTGTCCTGAGTTGCGACGCCGCCTGCTTCTGTCGCTGGTGCTGCTGCTGTGCAGGGACAGAGGGCAACACATTCATACTTTCTTTGATTCATGATGTGACAATGTACATAATTGTCAAACACATGCATGGGCTTCAACTGCCACCCTCCACTCTAAGTATATCATTAGAGGCAACACCACACAGAACAGTCTTGCTTGGAAGGTGTAACCTTCTATCCCTGTGTCCGAAGCGACACACACGAAGCTCGTGAGGCTGATCCCCCAGAAAAGAGAAGGATAGTGGCGACAAGGCTTCTTCTGCACATGCTGTTGCTGCACAGGGTGCTGCTTCTGTGGCTCATTAACTGCCTGCTCCAACTACTCTCACTCAGTGTCGTGTCTCGCTGCTCCGCCGTTTGCTAGTGGAGTTCCTGCTCCCCTTTCTGCAGCTTCTGGCGTCTTCTAAATCTAAGGAAGAGCACAGAATATCCTGCATCGTTCTACTACCTAATTCAGGCTTCAAAATTCACACCCAGTGCTGTACGTACAGCCTAGTGGCGTCACCACATTCGGTTTGTTGCAGTTCAGTCCGTGTACAAGTTCATAACTTTCTCTCTAGGAGTGAGAGAATGAGAATGTTGTGTTCATGGTAGCTGAGCTATCAATACAGGCAAATATGGGCACCAACAGATGGAGAGAAACACTTACGCTCGATCTACACGCGCACCGCAGCCAATGTACCCAAAGGTTGGTGAGCGGCACTCACCCAACAGAACAAGTGAGCACAAAGGTATGTGTGTGTGTGTGTGTGTGCTCGGCCAAAGTAGAGGAAGAAACGTAGAGGAACCCCCCACTTGCAATCGTTGCCGCTGACTCAAAGAGAACAGCTCATCTGAATCGCTGTGCACAATCGATCCTCCCACACCCCTAGGCTGTCGGCCACCGGCCCAATAAACATAATATTATTGCATTTTGCCTCTGTGTGCTAACGGGATTTCAATCTCACCCACGCGTGTTCTGCCAATGACGGTATTGCCTTTCGTTCGAAGATGCTTTTCACAAAAGGGGAAGGAGAACATGGTATGGCAGAGTTGAGGGGGCCAAATAACGGGAAATGTAGGTATTCAGCGTTATATTGACACACAAAAATCACCGGTAACTGCTTAGTGGGCTTACCTTCTGTTGAGGGCTACCCTAGCATCTGCTTGCCAGATATCATTTGGCCCTCCTGGTGGAGCTCGGTTAGAGCATCGAAAGTGGCACAAGTATTCATTATTCATGCGTAGGAACTCCACGGGTCCTGGAAAAGCATCATCCATGACAGTGGTCCGAACTCCGTGAGTGATGTTTGACAATTTTATAGGGTGGCTGAATATCGAACATGCATTCCCATCGTGAACCACTTGGACACAGGCTGCCCAGTACTCCCCACTGTACAGTTAAACCACAGAAACATGCTTGTGCCAGTGCCACACCTACAACCGGGGGGCATTGAGATCCTAGACATTCGAGCAGTTTGCAGAGTCCATCGGAAATATTAGGGTAAATGGCCAGGGCACCTAGTACAGTTTCTGGGAGTTGATTTAGCGAATCATTCCCATTCGAGCATAAACAGTAAGTCATCAAGCCAGCGGCAGCCTTTCCAAGCATAGTAACCTACATCATAGAATAATATTGGACCGTATTTACTTATCTGGTAGCTGCCGCTGTGTCACCAACCAGCGGGCTCTCCTATTTTGCAATTCACATGGCCTGATGTGCCTAATGTGATAATATATCACATTATTATATTAAGTCTACCCTGCCAGCACCGAGATCAGCCATTATGATAACAACGCAACAACTCCAGTGCTTCTCCTATTTGGGGACACATAACAACCCTCGGGCTTTGTGGCTTGCTTGTGTACCCGCGTTTACGACATTAGTGGAACCTGCAAATTACTACTCTGCTACCCCTACTGGGGACACATGCCTCAGTAGCCGAAGACACAGCTGCAGGACGGTGATTCCCAGATGCTGCAGAGACTGCAGAAGCAGCGTCAGCAACAGCAACAGCATCGCGCATGCCGGCAACGGTGAAGAAGCTTATGGACGCAGTCGAAGTGTATGTTGCACCCAGTTATCTATTCTCCCGATCCTATGTTCCAAAAGACTGAACAATTGTTGCAGCACTTCGCTGCCATCGTATGGCCTGAGGTTTCGAGGGAAGGTCGACGGCTCAGCGTCTGCAGTCGCCTAGTGCTGACTGCTGTAGGCTTCGATAGTGCCGACATCAGAGGAGGGTGTCCCCAGCCAAACCGGCACATAGGATAGAACCTCTGCAGCTTAGCGAATTTAGCCTGGAACCCCACTGACTTTGGGTTTACATTGAGTAAAGTTGCTTCGGCTTTAACGTGCTGGAAAGGCAAAGCAATATTATGCCTGCAATATCTGATGGATTTCAGCAGCAGCTAGTCAAGACAAGATAACTGCCATTTTCATTGTCTGGGAATCGTACAAATTCCGCAGAAGCATCAGTACCGGGAGGCGTTCGAATTCTGTGGAGTTTTACGGTGGTGATTCTTTGTAGATTTAGTTATGAAGACCTACCACAGCACCACCGCAGCCAACAAGAGGGAGATTGATGACGGGGAGGCGGAGCTCATTGACCATTGCGTGTTGGACCATTTGCACTTCTATTTCTAGCAAAGTTTGTCATACTGCATTGATTTCCTTCGTCATGCATAATTGATTTATAAAGCAGCATCGCACCCCCAACCCAGCACCCAAGGTTCTCGAGTTCTCTTCAAGTACAATGCTAGTGTTTGTAGCTGACCACTTCGGCGTATTGACCGCCTGCAATCGAAGCCACCCTTCAGAAGTGGCACGCTTCTAGAAACGGTTTACATCTGCTTGAAAACTCATGAATAAGATCCAGGGAATTTAAGCAAGTAGGCACGGCGAAGGCGTGCCACCCGTTCTGATGTGCGCCAATCTGCTCCTGCTGCTGCTGCTGCAGGAGCAGGAGCAGCTTGGTGCTAAATAGTTCCGGTCGCAGTCCAGTGCAAGCCAGAGCATCCACCTTACGTGCATATTATTGCTTTAAATATATAAACATAAATGCCTACTAGTATGCATGTGCAGATGGAATGTGCATGGATTTTCTACAATAATACATATGTGCAATGTATGCACTTGCGACATGGTTTAAGTGCAAAATTACTGAGTACCCGTACAGGGCGAGCAAACGGCAGTAGATGGCATGTCTGTACACTGCAGGAAGTAGCAATTGCCATGTAAGTACAATTATGGAGATAAATGAGACCGTTGCAGGTGAAGCGGCATAAATGCGTTAGTAGGAGAGGACGCAGAGGATAAAGGATTTAAAGACGAATAATATGAAATGCAGACGCCATAAAGGCACAAATGGAGAGGGGATTGAAACATGAGCAAAAGAAGTCCAATGATGGAAGAACCTAGAACCAATTGCTAGCAACAATCTCTAAGGTAGACAAGTAACGGTAGACAAGTAACGAGGAATCAGCACTAACACTTGCTCCTATTGTTTGTTCCTTTATTAATTGCAAATCTCCTCTCGTTCACTTGCTTTGCATTTAGTTGTCCTTATCTACTTCATGCATCCTATTATTTCTCTTAACAGCAACATAACTTCGTTTCCTGTTTGGTGCCTCTCGCCAATAATCAATTTAAGCGCCTCGTAACGCACATATTTTGGTGTTTATTAGCTACACTAGCAGTATTGGGCCCCCTTTTCTGCCTCCCTCCTTTTCCTTCCCCTGCCCCCTTTCTCTGCATTCATTGTAGTTCCTCCTAAATATGCGTTAGCATTCTGTTCGGCTTCTTCTTTTTACTCGTTGCACTACTCCTTAGCTCTGAGTTTATATGTATATAGTGCGTTGCTTAGATATTTTTATTAGTTGTCCCCAGTAGATTATTTACTTCCACACAGAATGTTTGTCTTCATCCGCTATTCATCGTAACAGGATTATTCAAGTTTACTTCCTGTTCTTAGCCCGGCTTCATCTTGATTTGCTGGGTTTCATGTATTCTGCTGTTTGCTATTTGCTTGCAGAACACAACCTGAAGAGGCCTGCCTTTTCTCCTTTTATATTTACATTGCTGCGTACAGCTAAGGGCAATCTTTTGGCCCATTCGTTCATTTTAGTACATGTGCAAGCAGCGAATTATGTGAATATGCATGCATTACATATCATCGCACGTAAGTATAAGAATGCTGGCATGTCATATATATGCTCATATTTGTGCACGCACTCGTAGGCGTACACATGCATATATATGTTTGCATATGCGCAGACGCACGTACATACAAGTATATATGTTCTTTTGCTTGCCTTTCGTTTCTACATGCATTTAGGGAGTTGATGCACTATTTAAGTTTTCCTGGTTGCGTATTTATTGTTTAATTTTGTGTTTCTCTATGTCTGCCTGGCGCTGTAGTGTTTTTGCCGGATATTGGCTTTTCCGTTGCTGTGTATTGTATTCATTTGTCTGTCTCTAAATGCTTTTTTTTCTTGTCATTATCTGCGTGCAGCCCTATAGGCAACAAATGCGTTTTGGGGTTTCTTCTGCCCCGTTGTCTTTCGTCAATATTCCTGCACCAGAAGGGAGAAAACAGATGTTTAGAAAAAACTTCATAAAAGGAACATCAATGAACCCGCAATACAACAAACTCACAAAACAAAACAAACAAAACAAAAGAAGCAAATATCTTCTTCTTCCAGCACCCTGATCGGCTTCCCAAAGAAAAATAAAGCAGCCGCATAAACACTCCAAGAGGGCCCCTTCGCCCATGTGTAAACCAGAAAAAGGACAGGAGTGAATGGCAACCAAAGGAACAAATTCGTTGCACCACAAGGCTCTTGCTCCACCTGCTGCCAGTGCTGCTGCTGGTTTCCTCTTCGTTGCAACACAAGAATGTGGTAACCAGCAGCTTTCGCTGCTGCAGCTGCTGCAGACCGTGTTGGCTGTGGCTCCGAGCTTCATCATCTTAAACAGCTGCTGCACTTGACGCCGTTGCTGCTGGTCCTTCTGCTGCTGCTGCTCATCCATCGCTTGTAAAGACAATAGGCGACTGCTGAGAAGTTCTCTCCCTGCTGCTGTTTTCATCTGTATCGAAGAGTGCTGCAGCTAGGGGAAGAGGATAGCCTGCATGTTGCTGCTGCTGCTGCTGAGGCTGCTGCTGTGGCTGCACTGGCGAGAGGGTGCGAGCTGTCAGCGGGGTTTGGGAACAAGTTGTAATTTGGGGGGAAGGGTCTGCTGCTGCCTCTCCGGAGTTGCGAGGCAGCAGCAGCTGCTGCTGCTGCGGTGGGTGCTGTTGCTGCTGCTGGTAAAACAAAAGTTTCTGCTGCTGCTGGTATGCAACACCCGAGCTCGGGGTGTTGCCGATGCTGCTGCTGTTGCTGCTGCTGCTGCTCAGTGCACTGCTTATGAAAGGGCGCGGGTACGTCTGAGGTGCGGCAGTGTTGCTGCTGGTCTTGCGAAATCCAAACTGCTGCTGCAGGCCCCCTCGGGCCGGCGGGGGGGGGCAGTACTGCTGCTAAGAGTTTAGTTTACACGTCTAAAGACGACGACGAGCTGCGGCTCGTTCTCTCCCCCGTCTTTGGAGATGCAGGAGCGAATGTCCTCACGCTGCAACAACTGAGCTTCTGCTGCTTGTAAAAAACCTGCTGCTGCTGCTGCTCCTGTAGGCGCGAGGAGCCGCTGTTGCTCTTGTTGCTGTAGCTGGTGCTGCTGCAGCAACAGTAAACTCCGTTCAATGTCTTGAAACCCTGAAAAGCTGCTGCTGCTGCAGTTTAGGGGCCTGACGCATGATTCTATGTGCTGCGCGTGCTCCACATGCTCCTGGATTTGCTGTTGCAGCTGCTGTTGCAGTTGCTGCTGGAGTTGCTGTTGCAGCTGCTGCTGTAGTTGCTGCTGCAGCTGTTGTTTTAGCTGCTGCTGTAGCTGCTGCTGCAGTTGCCGTGCAGCATCCTTTTCGGCTTGCTGCCGCGTGTACGATTGGATGCCGCTGACAGGCCCACGCACTTGAGAAGAAGAGCCAAAACGGCGGTTACCTCGGGGTTGCTGTAGCTGCTGGGGCTGCAAGGGGTGTTGTGGCAAGGGCTGCTGATGTTGCAGTTGCTGCTGTTGCTGCAGTTGCTGCAACGGCTGCTGGTGTCGGCTCGATGGAAACGGAGGCGCCGACCGCTTCAAGACTGGTATTTGTTGCTGAGGTCTCTCTTGCTGCTGAAGCTGCGGCTGCTGCTGCCGCGAAGGTATAAAGTCTAGTGTTAGTCGTTGCAGCTGTGTACTTAAGCTTGCTGCTGCTGCTGCTGCTTCATGATCTGCGGCTTCATCTGTTTGACGGGGGGTGGGTGCAGTATGCGGCAGCTGCTGAGTCTCCTGCAAATGTTGCTGGTGCTGCTGCTGCTGCTCCTGCTGCAGCAGTTCCTGCTGCTCCAGAGGATCCCACCCCCGTGCTAGAGCGATCGCTTGCAGGACGGCCAAAATCGTTTCGTTTGTTAGCTGAGGCATCTGCTGTTGGTCTTGCTGCTGCTGTTGCTGTCGCAGCAACATTTCTTCTTCCTCCCGCTGCCGCTGTTGCTGCAGCTGCAGTAGCTGCTGCTGCTGCTGGTCTTGCTGCTGAGGCGGCGGCATGGTGCTGGCAAGCCTCAGAGCAAGATCAATTGTTAACTGCAACTGAGAGAGGGTCATATTCATAGCCTGAGGGCCGAGAAGCTGCACAGCAATAGGGGCTGCATCGTCTTCTGGAAGCTGCTGCTGCTGCAGCTTCTGTTGCAGCTTCTGCTGCTGCTGCCGCGGTTGTCGCTGGTTTTGCTGTCGTTCTGGGTTGAATTTTTCGAATGGGAAGCTACTCAGCGCATGAGACGAGTCCGATGTGGTTTGAGAATTTTTGATGCCGGCTTTTGCTGCTGCTGCAGCGGCGGCTGCAGCTGCTGCTGCCATTTCTACGGCAGTTGTTGCAGAGGCTTGTTTTGGGGGTGCTGCATCTTTTGTTTGCTGTTGTATCAGCAGCTGTTGCTGTTGCTGCTGCTGCTGCAGCTGGCTTTGTTGGTGCTGCTGCAGAAGCAGGTCCAAGGCAGTCATCCCTTCAGGAGTTGCAGCCTTCCCTTCAGCAAGCACGAGAGGATTCACAGGAGTCTGAACATCTTCGAGGCCTCCCCCAACGAAGCACACGGATTGACGGGTGGAGGGGCTCACAGTAGTTGTCAGCGCGGTGTCATGCTGATGCTGCTGCTGCTGCGTTTGTTGCTGTTGCAGCGCTTGCTGCGTCTGTCCCTGTTGTCGTTGCGGACTGTCGGTGCTACTGCTGCTAGCAGCAGCAGCGGCAGCTGCTGCTGCTTCCTTGTGAATTTTCCCAAAGTCTGGAAGCAGCAAGGGAGCAGCCCCTTTGGACGCAGCTTCGACTGTCTGCAGGGGCATGCGCTGAGGCCCCGCAGCTGCGGCGGCATTTGCTGCAGGTGTTGTTGTTGGTGGTGTTGCTGCTATTGTTGCAGCGGTAGGTTGGAGGCCAATAGGGGGGCCCTGGGGGCCCCAGAGTGCCCGAATGAGGGGCAAGGCGAAGGGGTCTCGCAACTCAGAAGTATGATGTGCAAAGGGACAGAAGTGACGGAGACAGTTTGGAAAGACTGAGCACAAGTGCGTTTTATAAGTCAGAGGATGGTAGAGTTCTTCTTCTTTGCTGTGTGCAAATGAGCAGAAGCGGCCTCTGTTGCAGTGGCGCACCAAATTCATCTTCTTGTTGCAGCGGCGGAACTCGATTCCAGGGCACAGCTGCGGGCTGCAGAAGCGTCCAAGTATGCATGGATGAGCAGCAGCAGCAGCACACAGAACCACAAACAAGAAAAAGAAACAAAATGGTAAATGGGGGAGGCGAGCAGCAGCCTGCTGCAGCAGCTGCCCAACACAGCACGCAGTGATCACCAAAATCAGAGCATAGACTGACGAAGGCATGAAGAGAAAGGCAAAGGAGTGGTGGTATATTTATTGAAACGAGATACAATGCACGTGGCTAGCAAACAAAAACGAAAAATGCACCATACGTGCGTGTATAGGCTGTTGCATGCAAGTGCAACACACAGCGATCAAAAGCCAACAAAATGGAAAGGAGCGATGCGAACAGAAGAATACACAAAGAGGAACCAAAAACGAAAGCCCAAACAAGGAAATGACGAATATGCATTTAAAATGAACGAACAAAACTAGAACGCAAGAGCGGGACAATGGTAAACCCTTAGGAGATGCCACGGACGGGAGATGGGAAAACGAAAAGAATGAAGGACAACAGACAGTCGTAAGAATAATAAGAATAGCATCAGCACCAGCGGCAAACAGCACCAGTTGTTCACACCATCACGTGTCTTACAAGTAGAGGATTTCATAGGGATTTCGTCTCTGCCAAGTAAGACAGTGGGAGTGGGGGCAGGCGTCGGGATTTGCGCATTGGCTTCTGCGGTGTTGTTCACAGAGCTGTGTTCTGAATGTGCCTAATTCTATTTCATTTAGTGTGTAATGCTTGCTTAAAGGGGGGGGAGGAGACGGCATAGATAGAGCCAAACCCCTCCGGGTAATCCCCCCCCCGTGGGCCCCATTCCCCATGGGGGCCCCCGCAGCACTGCCCTGCAGCGAAAACGAAGGGACGAGGGCCCCCAAGGGGGCCGTCTGACAGACAGGCTGCATGTGATTGTGTACAATTGAGGGGAAGGAACTGGCAGGGCAGGCGGTGTCTGTCACGCGGTAGCTAGCTAGCTAGCTACCTTTTAGCTAGCTAGCTAGCTAGACGGAGACAGGCTATGTATGAAGACGGGAAGGAGCCAAAAAGGCCCTATAAACCCTTGGGGCCCCAAGGAGCACAAATTCAAAAGCTGAAAGGGTGGATTGGGGGTCCCTAAGATGTCAGACAAAGACAACAAATTAAGCGGCGGCTGCGAGCTGTGGCACTCTGTTTAGAACAACGGGTGCGATGGGAGAGGGGCGCCTGGATAAGGAATACAAGAAAAAAGAATATGCATCTCCCTGGGAGTTCAAGGCGGTAATGGAGAGGCAGTTGCTGCTGTAGAGACACCTGAACGCTGCTGCAGAGGAGAGGACTTCGCGCTGAAGAACTTTGCTGCTGCTGCAGGCGGCCTCCTGCATGCGGCTGTATGACGTATTTGCACTGACCCGTGTTGTTACTAGCAGCACAAACTCTTCTTGTAACGAACTAAAACCCTTATTCTCGTCGTGTAAGTGGAGAGAGGAGGAGGCGCAGGAGAAGGCCTACAGGACCTGACTGTGAAAGGGAGAGAAACGCAGGCCGTCTCGGACTATTGTACGGACCCCAAAGAAATACAAAGACTGAGGGGCAGATTCTGATGGAAGCCAAGATTGAGGGGTGAGGAGGAGATGTATGTACACCCGGGCTGCTGCCTCGCTGCTGCTGCGCTGCCTGCGCCGCGAAGAGCGGGAGGCGCAGAAAGGAGTCAGTGAAATTTTGTTGCAATAAAACAGAACCCAAAAACAAGTGGCCAGGAGAGAAGGAGGCCGCGCACCAGATGAGATGCGATGCAGCTGGAGCTTAGATACAGCTGCAGAGATAGCGGCAGGCGGAAGCAGGGAGGAGACACTGGTGTGAATTGATTGACTCTAATTAAGAGCGATTAGAACGAAATTACTTCCAAGTCATCAGCCCCAAACAACAAATAGCGACAAAACGGATCTTCTATTCACCTTCATGAACCGGCCTCTCTCGCTGACAACGCAGGCTGGCTGGTTACCCGACGGCTCTGGGGGTGTAGCGCTGTTGCCACACCGCAGCAGCAGCTGCTGCTGCAGCAGCAGGCAGGCCCAAAGCCCTAAACCCATTTAAATACTCTGAAATATCGCTTTTTGAAGGTTTTACTACCACTTGCTTCCGCGAAATCTCCGAAAAACAGAGATTTGCAAACCGGCAGTCACAGACGCATGCGCAGATCCCACAAGGTCACCTAGAGAACCGAACAACTCCAACAGAGGAACGCCAGCTTTGCACATCACTTCATATGACGGAACATAATAATTAATATAAGTTTGTCCCTTTTATGAACGGGTTCAGTCTTCTGCTCAGATGCGGTAACCGCCATTTTCCTCTCTGTGGGTGGCACATACAGATTCAGCTACCTTGCCATTCTTTCTGAAGCGGTGGGCTGGACTCTGTCGTCCAGTAGGAGTGATTCGCATCGCAACTGAAAAGAAATATAATTATTAAACAACAAAACAATCTCTTGATGTTTCATTTTGCATGTAACCGGGACATAACGGAAAGTCGCAGGCGAGTGAATAGAACCGTGTCCGTGCAGGTTTTAAATATGATAGATTAAGCCGGCAGCTTAGGCAGCCCTTAACTTAAAACATTTCAAATTTATTGTAAGTAGAATAAATAAAACACTTCCAGGCAAAACTTCATGCAGCTGGGTGCTGCCTACGGTATTTTCAGGCGTGCATACACCTCAGGGTGAATATTGAAAACAGAAAAGCTCGTCTAGCTTTTCTGGGGCTCGAAACTCCAACTTTGTGTTGAATGGTATTGCAAAATGAAGTTTCAAGACGTTATTTGTTGTTGTCTTCGGCTTTTTTCCCTATTTTTTTGCGTGAATACTATTTCTTCCTTTAGTCAATCGGAAGATGAACTCGAGCAGCCTCGCGCAAATCCGGAGGAGGATGAGGGCCCTTATTCTCCTGAAAACGATGATGCCTCTTTATTAGAAACAACACCTAAAGATGCAGAGGCAAATGTTTCTGTGTTTCCCACTACTAGAAACACTGTTCAGCTCCCACCTGCGCCCATTCCCCCTGAAGGCGTTCTATTTGAAAATAAAAGCCCTAGCAATGTGCAAGCTTTCAAGGTGCCTGGAGTGGGTCTGCCAATAGACGAGAGTGAACAGGTAACACAGAAAAGCTCCTTAATAATAAACAACATTTCTGAGTGGAGCATTCCCTCATTAAATGCGTAACTATGTAATATAATTCTCCACGTGTTGCTTCCATTGTGTGGAGAATGGTGATCTTTTTACTTTTTGAAAAAATGTACCAAATTACCACGAATACAATGAATAAAAAAAATTAAATTTGAGTATAAGACAGGTGAATAAGCACAATCTACATGCATAGAGGCATATATATACTCGTCTATAAATGTTTAATACCACCCCTTCAGGTCCCCTTTATTTTTATCAATAATGTTGCTCCCGAGAGTCCCCGAGCATCAGAGATTCCGGGTGTCTCTGAGGCCATTGTAGGCCCATCTGCAGCCCCCGGTAATATATTAATATATTAGTATATACTGTTATTATTTGTTGTTGGTACTTGCCGTTAGTATTTGCTGTTTTTATACTTGCTAATTCAATTTGCTCATTGATTCTTCACGTTATATAACCGTCATCATGTGTATTAATGGCAGTTGGACCGGAGCAACTAGGCCAGCGTAAGAGAAGAAACTTTTCTTTTACTTATTTATTTAGGGAAAATGATTCAATAATGCTCATATTCTTTATTCGCTCAGTTAATGCACTTTGCGTCTCTGCGCTTGGTGCTCCTTATGCTTATTCCCCCAGGTCTGTCATGATTGCTTGACTAAGAGAGAGCATAGTACCTCTGATGGGTGCTGTGTTGTTTCTCTTCTGTTTATATTCCCTAAAGCCTATAAATAAATAAATAAATGACTTTATTTATTTATGACATACAGCAAAGGCCTATGTGAGCCCTCGTATCAGGTACAGGCAGAAAAAGAAGAAGCAATTGGAGAGAAAGAAAGACAACTTCTAACACCTCTTTCTCCCCAAGAGGAGTATGAACAATCCCTGGAGGAGTCCGGGGTTTAATTAATGGATACGATGAAGTTGCATATTATTCAAGCCATTTCTAGCAATTGATTTAGTTGGCATTTTATACTTAGTGTTTACTATAAGGAACAACAACCGAACTGGAGTCTTCTGCAAGACTCCTACAACAGCACGAAGAGTGACGCTTTAGATAGTCTGATATGTGTATATGTGTATATAATCATATATCAACACTCCTACTTCTTTAGCAATGATGTAATGTTCTATAGAGGTTCAGGAAAACGTCTGGGGTACAGGACCCCTAGCAAAGCTTTAAAAAGCCTTAAGAGGAGCCGAGGCAGATACGATGCTAGCAGATGATGCAACAATCAAGAGAACACTCTTAAAAGAGCTCAAACGGCCAAGATTGCATCCAGGTGTCTCTTCACCTGCAGTGCAAACCAGTGTTAGGGCTACTACAGCAATAGACGGGCAGACGCAGGCGTATGTTGCTATATGTATGCAGTTATTATTTTATTGAGGAGGGGGTTTCTTTTTCTTCTTTTCCGGAGTGCTAATTTTCCTGTAGAGCGGCATTCCTCTTGCGTTCTTTTCTGTTTCGCTTCTCCGTACAAATGTGCATGAGGGGTATTTTGATTTAATTTGTTTTAGCTGATCATCGCTTATTTTGTTTACTCCATCTAAATAAACAAAAGACAGAGAAGGCGCCCCCCTCAACACCACCTCTATAGACATTGCTGACAACTCAGTGCAGCCTGCATTACAAGCAAATACACACACATAAAATACCATAGAGCGCATACACTTACAAGGGCTCCCACGAGCACTGTATGCACGATGTAAATATGTAGGCGGGCATTTGGTCATCTTACCCCGAACGTCAAGGAGAGACAGGTGTTTGAAGCAGTTGAGTCTGGCAAGGAGCGCGAGGCCCTCATCGCGCAAACTGGAGGCCCCAGCCAGGCGGAGGCCCCTCAGCCCCTTGCAGCTTTCGCTCAGGCGCAGCAGGACCCCGTTGCTCACGGTGTCGCACCCAGAACAGTCTATCTGAAGCACTCAAACCCTAAACAGGAAACCCTGAAACCTGAACCCAAAGCCTTAAAAGTTACAATCCAAACCCTGAACCTTACACCGTAAACCTTGAACTCCGAACGCCAATCGCTACACCTTCGGACCACAACTGTATGGCCTTCCCCGTAAACAAACGCATCATAGGAAACGGTCGCAAAGGTGCCAAGGCTGCAACCTAACCCATTGCTGGGATTTTAGTTGCTGTTTTTTGGGCGGTTGGGGTTTTGGGAGTGGCGTTGTACCTCTTGCAGATCAGGGAGTAGGCCGAGACAGGCGGAGAGCTTGGCATCTGATTCAGTCCTGCAGCAGAAGGAGATGTTCAAGTTGAGGAGTTCTGGATGGTTTGAAAAGAATACCTGCAGGCCCTGAAGCAGTGAGCAGGGACAACAGCAAGAACACGACGTGCAGAGGAGCAGCTGCATATATAGGGCAGCCTTTTCTGTTGTCTTCCTTTATTCCTCTGAATTGTCTGCATCTCCTGTTGTAAGTGTCTCTACCTCTGCCTCTGCCTGTGTTTTCAACATGGTCATCCTTCGGCCTCAGTTTCTGTTCTTAAATATTTTTATGTCTTTGCCTCGATATGTCTCTGCCTCTCTCCCACTGTGCCATTCTTCAATTGCTCAAGACAAGGCAACTCCAAACCGCAAAACTTAAACTCCAAACCCTAAACGGTAAATGCAAAATCCTAAACCTTAAAGCCTTAGTTGTGAACATCTAATCCCACTTGAGTTGTTACGCCGTCGCAACCCGAGCAGTTAAAAGAAAGGAGCTGGGGAAAACAAGAAGAGAAACGAGACAGACCTGAAAAGAAACACTCCAAACGCCAAGCCCGGGGCTCTTATCCGCATATACATTTCGTAAACTCTGTGCCCTTAACGCTAACCCATAGAACTGCTCTCTTACAGTCATCTGAGAAGTCCGGACACCGTGCGATCTGCAGCTCTTCAAGCCATTTCAAATGCAGCAGGCAACCCACGCTGAGCGCAAACCCTAAACCCTAGGACTTAAACACTAAATACGAAACACCGTACGTATGCCTGAATCTAAAGGCGTCTCACTTCTCTTCGTTGACGGCGCGTATGCATCCCGACAGGTTTATCCCTCGTAACCACTGCAGCGCAAACCCTATACCCTATACCCTACGTTCTAAACTTCAAACTGCAGGGATCTGAGATCAGCGCCTTGAGAGAAAAACGTAGCCTGGGCTGTTAGCCGTAAACAAAAGAAACAACTGCCAGTGTCACATTTGTTACAGTGGGTTAGCATCTCCAGAAGCCACATAGTTATAGGTTTTGAGGGTCCAGAGACTAGTTATTACGGTTGTGATATGCACACCCTCATCTCCTTAAGGAACGACAAGTCCATGATTTCCTCACATGAACTCAGGTCGAGGTATTCCAAGCTGCAGCAGCAGAAGCAGCAGCAGCACAAGTAGCAGCAACTGAACTAGCAGCAGCAGCAAGGAGAAGACTGCACGAATGCAGTCTCCTCTCTCAGGGATTAGGGTTTAGGGTTTGCGGTGTACTTGGTACAGATTGCGAGGGCTTTCCCCGCTTCTTCTCCCACATGGTTCTTTCTGAGAGACAAGCACCTGAGGCCCCCACCAACTCTCATGATGAGAGCACCCAGCTGCCTGTCAGTGAGCCAGGGGGCACCGTCTCCCTCTAAGCAGCCCACTCCTTCAACACAACGCAGATATTCTGCTCTGTCCTTCTCGGAGTTAGGGCCCATTACGGAGGTCGTCGGCTTTAATGGGGCCCCCGGTAACGTTTCTTGTGAGGGCCACCAATCGGGGCGCCCCCAGTAATTCTCTATGGTGGGAAGGAGGCTGCTGGGAGGGGGGCCAACAGGGGGGGCCTTTTTGGGGGCTCCCTTTGCGCCTCTCGTCTTCTTTTTCTTTTTCTTATTTCCGCCCTTTTTGGCAGGCTTTTTTTTGTCCACAGGAGCCACAGAGGGCCCCCGAACCCTTTCCGGGGGCGGCGTCTGTGGGAGTGGAGCCTCATCGACAGGAGGTGCAGCTGGGGCCCCGCGGAACTTGTGGAGAAGAGATAGAGGAAGCAAGTGATAGTTTATTGCATTCTCGTCCAAGGAGTACAACGGGGGAAGTCTTTCGGGAGGTAGGAGCAGGCCCAGCCAATTGGTCTGCAACAGCAACAGCAACATCAACAGCAGCAGCAAATACAAAACCAGTAGCAAAAACAGCAGCATGACTAGCAGCAGCAGAGCCAACTGCAGCAGCAACAAAAAGAGAAACCATGGTTCTGATCAAGAGTTGCAGGCGTCTCTACAGACTCTTCAAGCCAGTTGTTCCCCCCGTCTGCAAAAGGGTCACGGACGTCTGGGTCTATTTATCCCAGACTGTTAAACCCCAAACTCTAGACCCTACACCCTAGAATCCTGGGCTCTCAACTATACACCCTAAGATACAGCATAAACTCTAAATCCTAAAACCGCAAATCCTAAGCAGTAAACCGTGAAACCATAAACCGCAAATGATAAACCCTAAAGCCTAATCTTCCACATTGTAATATCGCCCCTCACCCCGAAGTATTTCCCCTGGTAGGCGTCCTTTGGTTTTGTTAAGCTGGGGGCTCTGCTGCGGCTCGTGAAAGACGCGGCAGCTCGTTGCAACTGGGGGGCCCCCGGGGGCCCCTCTGAAATCATCGTTTCCATGAGGGAACGGAGAGGTGTAACTCCTTGGTTCCACAACGAGCCTTGAGCAGCTACTGCTGCTGCAGCTGCTTCTCCCCCCTCTAAGGGCGCTGCACCTGCTGGTACAGCAGGTGCTCCTTCCTCTTTTGCTTCTGCTGCGACACCGCCAGCAGCAACAGTCTCTGAGGGGGCAGAAGGCCCCATGGGGGGGCCTAATGTGAAGGGACTAGAAGAGAAAAAAGGAAGGGGCCCGGCAGTATCTGTATTTGATGGCTTATTTTCCGCCTGCTGCCGCAGGACCGCGAGACGTTGCAGATGTAAGCAGCATGGAGGTGCAGAGGGGGGTCCCTGTTCTTTTAATATTGTTCCGCGAGGGGTGCTGCTGCAGCTGCTCTCCGTGTATGAGCCAAAGCCAGACTCATCATACCACGTAACGCTGGCTCGCGGTAAGGTTGTAGCATCTACTGTTGATGCTTTTCTACTCGCTGCTGTTGATGCTTTTCTACCTGTTACCGTTGCCGTTGATGCGCGTGCAACGCTTGCTCTCCCCGCTCCAGCTGCTGCTGCAGCTGGAGCAGCACCGAATTCAGTGTCCTCCATGCTGCAGAGCAAGGTCGTAGCCTTGGGAGGGGGAAACTCTAAACCCTACGCTCTGAACCCTAGGCGCTAAGTCCTCGGTTCTAAGCCTTAAGGTGCAAGTCCTAATGTAACTTTCTCTCGTTTTCGCCAACTACTTTCTGCTCCCGTGTTCCATCTCTTTCCCATATTTCGGAGTACTGGGGGACTCATTTCTTTACCGCTAGAAGGAAAGGCGGCTTCCGCTTGGGCGGCCTCACCCAGGGACTCCGCTCCCACTACCCTAGCTATATTACCCCAGGACCCCCAGCAGTTTACCTATGGGAGGCCGTGAGAAGCTCCTCGTTCTTTGTGTGCAGCAGTCCCCGTGCTGTCTTCCGCAGGAGCTGGTGGCCCGTAGGGGCCACCAGGTCCTGCGAGTTACCGTAAGTCCGCTGGGCCCTGTAGCACTGCTACAGGGCATACAGTTTGCTTATGGTGAGTCTGAATGGTTGGGGTCCCCAAAGCAGCTGGGGGCCACTGGGAATGTTGGTGGCCCCCAGGGCTGTCCGGGGGCCCCCAGCGGTTGGCGGGCACCGTGCACCCATCGCTAGGGCTGCGAAGCCCCCCTCACAGCATTACAGATGCGTTATGTTATTAATATTAAAGCAAATATTCCAATGAACTAAGGAGGTTGGGCCGCACGGAGGATAAGAAGGAGAAGGGCGATGTAGCACAGTGCAGCGCATCGAGGCAGCAGCCGAACAGATCCGCTCATGGCGCTGATGCTGTCGCTGCTGCTTTCCCTGTTGCTGCTACAACAGTGGAATACCTGAAGATATGAAGATGCATAGACAAGACTGTGATATAAGCCGGAACGAAAGACGAAAAATAGATACAATGTGCAGGCACGAAGCGGCTCCATGGGGGCCCCCGGTCCCCCGGCCCAGTGAGCTGAAGCAGCTGCAGCAGCAGGGGCTGCTGCTGCTGCAGATGACTATAAACGATTCACCCTTGCTAATTTTTTATGCTTTCATAGACATGCTACTTTCATTGTAGACTCATTAGAACGGTACAAACCCCTAAAACATCAGCGTCGTTGCCTACAACCCGAGGGGCCCCCAGCAGCTAACCAGGGCCCCCAGACTAGCAGTTCGGGAGGGGCACGGGGGCCCCCCCCACGGCCTGCATTCGACCAATAAAACCAACAAATGAGTGCAATGCACATGTTTCCATTTTTGTAGCACACAAGTGTTGAGAAGTATCCCCAAATCTCTATGCTGCTGCAACCATACACGCCAAACCGTCAGTACTGAACCAAAGAGCTCCAGAGATGCCACCGCCTGCTTCAAAGGGGAATGACGATCCAGGAGTGCTCCTATATGCGGAAGGGGCTCTGGAGAGCCTCACAAGTGCTCCCAATGACGTAAGGGGCCCCAAGGGGGCCCGTAGGGGTGGCATACCCCCGGCACCTCTGCTAAAACCCTTCACAGCCTCTCCTTTTGTATTAAAAGCAAGGCCTGGGTTCTTTCTTCCAGCTCAAAAACTCACACCTGCAAAAATGTATATGGAGGACTACTGGGAGAAGCAGCAGCAGCTGCATCAGCAGCAGCGGATGCAGCAGCACCTGATGCAGCAGCACCTTATGCAGCAACAGCTGATTAATCAACAACTAACACAACAGCAGCTAATACAACAACAGCTGCTGCAGCAGGAGAGACAGGAGCAGCAGCTGCTTATGCAGCAGCGAAGGCAGCAGCAGCTATCTCCCCGAAGACACAGTGACTATCCGGACCACTCAGAGTGTCTCACCTCTGGTCCTCAAGTTATTGACTCCAGGTGGCGCAGCATCTTGGAAACCCTAAAACCTAAATCCTAGCCGCTGCTTGTGCAGATAAGACACAGACACATCGGTTGTTTGTAGCTCTAGTGGTAAAGAATTTAGCATCTCTCCCTTTCGTGTCTTGATGCCTTTTAACAGAAGTATGGTTTTCGCAGGACCAACGTTTCTAAAAGGAGCATTTGCTCAACTTATAGGACTTATCAGCAGAGGTGTGCGGTTTGCATCTGTTGCTGCAGAGTGGCGGACGACTTGCATTCGAACAACTGCGGCGTATGGCTCTATGGAACCTGCAGCGTACGTGACTGTTTAGCGCTTCCGTTTTATGTTTTGAGGCTTACATCTTCACCATTAGGGTTTGTCGCTCGATTTGTGTGGTGTAGGGTATATGTTTTACGTGTGCGTCCTCCTCTCAGCTTTGCCAGGCTCGAGGCAGATTAACCCCTTCTTGTCCAAGAGCAGCAGCATATGCGGGAGCTGCAACAGCAGGAAATGCAACAGCAGCAGCACAAGCAGCACAAGCAACAGCAGCAGCACAAGGCAGCACAACAGCTGCACCAGAAGAGATGTTTGCGTTTGATGCTGCTGCCGAATCAGTGCCCTCAGCTGAATCATATGCATTGCTCACTAAGGGCGGAAAGAAGTTGCATTTAAACAGGAGAGATAAAGATATAACAGAGAAGAAGGGGAGTCGACATGCTCATAAGACTCGTCACCACCGACGCACCTCTACATATGACGAGGGCTACCTGCAGGGGACCCCAGGACGAACCCACGTGACCCCCCCCGTGGTGGCCCCCATGGAATTTCCCACTGGACGTGAGAAGGAACACTCGATAAGAATGATGGAAAAGTTTGCTGACCCGACAAACAATACATTCAGAGCAGGGCGTAACAGGAGCTGCAGCCGCAACAGCAGCAACAGCAGCAGAAGTAGCGAAAGCAGGGGAAGCAGCGGTAGCATTAGAAGCAGGCTGCGGCTGCAGAGCCCCGAGTTGCATCAGCAGAGAAACAGGCGGCACTTCCATTCAACTAAGGGGCAAAGAAAACATGAGAAGATGAGAGGAAGGATGTAGGCAACCAGTCGTTTCGTTTGTTTGCTCCCACTTTTGACTCTACTGCTGCTACGTATGCTGGGCGAATGCAACTGCGGCAGCTGTTGCTGTTTCTTCTGTACCTGCTGCTGTTCCAGCTGTTGCTGTTGCCGCTGCATGCACTTGCCATTGAGTCAAAGTGATCTAGCGAAGGGTAGGGCTGTAGGGTATAGGGTTTTCGATGTAATGCTCATTGCAGAAACCCCCCAATGAAAAGTCCTGGGACAGCTCTGGAAGAAGCGAAGACCGATGAATTGAAGGAAATTATTTTGAGAATGCTGGACTGTAGAAGGTGAGGAGACACCGCAATCACCGAAGCCCTAACTTCCTGACGTTACCCAGGCGCATATTAGTGGAATAATATATCTATAAGTATTTTCCTAGCTTATATGCATACCGCAAGCATGGGGTTGCATGCAACCTCATGGCATTCTCCTCCTTTCGTGCTTTCTGTAGGGTAGTTTGAAAACCTGGGCTAAGTGCATGAGAGACTAGGAGATACTCTGTGGTGTACCGACACTTCCCAGGCATGCATATCCACAAAGTAGACAACTAGAACAACAAACACACGACACTAACAACAACATGACCAACACATGTACAGTGCATTCGTGTACACGCAGACAAAGCATGTTTTGCCCGAATGTACACTCACGCCCATGTATATGTAGCTACCTCCCTGCATGCATGTGGCATCAGAAGGCGCTTCTCTCCGTATAGCAGGGGCAGCAGATGCGAAGGAATCACCGGGGGTTGAAACCGGGGGTTGAAGCCTCGCTTGCACGCACGCATGCACAGCCCAGAATAAACTGAACTCTTTGAGCCACTTTGTCTGAGTCGTTATTTTCTGCTCTTTCTTTTCAGACTCGAGACCCAAATCGAAGTTCAAATGGAGCAGCTCCAACTTTTCGAATCCCTCCTTAAGCAGCTCCCTCCTTCCTCTTCTAAAGCGACGGATGGCGCGTTGGGGGCGCTTGAAGGGGGCCCCGCGGACTCTGCTGACTCTCCAGCTGAGGCTGCTCTCTTGCAACAACTCCAGCATGATGATCTATCTTTTCTTAAGGCGGCCCTATCTGTTGGCCTCTACCCTGCTTGCATTCTCAACACTCCGCAAGGGTCCCTCGTTTCGACCGAAAGTGCCGTACCCTCTGACCCCACATCTCAGCAAGCTGCCCAGCCGAAGCAGGGGCCCATGCTGTCTCAACAAGGGTCCGCTGCCCCTACGGAAAAGTGCGTAAACTCTAAGAATGGGATGATGACCCCAAAGCAAGGGATCCAGCTTTCAAAGCAGCCGTTTCCCCCGTCGGCGAAGCTATCCTCATCTAAGGGGGCCAACGCTAAGCAGGGGTCGCTATCGCTTAAACAAGGGACCCTGCCCCTTAAACAGGAACCGCTCCCAGTTAAACAGGGTCAGCTACCTGGTAAACAGGGACCCTTACCCCTTAAACAGGACCCCTTACCCCTTAAACAGGGACCCTTACCCCTTAAACAGGGACCCCCACCCCTTAAACAGGGACCCCTACTTCTTAAGCAGGGACCCCTACCCCTTAAACAGGGATCCCTACCCCTTAAACAGGGACTCCAGGCCCCAAAAGAGGGACCAGCTCCCCTTAAACAGGGACCCTTACCTCTTAAGAAGGGACCTCTTCCCCTTAAGCAGGGACCCCTACCCCTTAAACAGGGCCCTCTACCGCTTAAAAAGGGGCCTCCGCTCCTTCTAAAAGGTCCCTAGCGGTTACGCTGGGGTCTCTGGCCCCCCACAAAGCACTCCTAACTGAGGAGAAAACGGCCCCAGGCAACTAATATTACTATTACCTCCCACATTGTGACTGGAAATGTCTCTAGCCCACTTTGGATAATTGTGGCATACAGTTGCGGCGCAAACCGTCGTGCGTTAGATGCTGTAACTAGAAAATCCAGTCTCCCATCGACGTCCCCACCAGCATGACGCTGAGCGGGGGGAAGTTTAGAGCGAGGTGCTTGGTATGGGCCCTCTGCTGCTGCAAAGGGGATGCTTTGGGTTCAAAGGACGCTTCCCCTTGAACATGTGCAGCGCAGTGCAAGGGTTAGGATGATTGTTGCAGATAGGGTGTGGAGAGAAGCCACAACGCCCAAGCCCCAACCCCTACGGAAATTCGCTGCAGCTACTATCATCAAACCCTACGGAAATGTGCAGCAGCTACTACCCCCCAACCCTAAACCCTACAACAGGGATGTGCTGCATGAAGCAAAGCCGAAGCACGCATCTACCTTGCTTGAATATGTTCATGCATGCGTCCTATTCTTTCAGCAGCGTGCCGGAGCAATCGGGTGCGTATACGTAAACCTCCAAACTCTAGACAGTCGCAATTGCGCATGCAGAGGAGTTGGCATTTAGGTATGAAGAAGTGCACCCATCTGCCTCCAAAAGTGCATGCACGCTCAAAAGACAACCAGTCTGAAAGCGGCAGCATCTGCACGCCAAACGCGCACGTTCATGCACACAGAGTAAGGTCTGCACAAACATCTACTCCAGCCTACCTGCAGGTAAACTCGTGGACGCCTGTTGTGCATGCACTTGCATGCACCTGCCTCTTGTGTTATCACCTAGACATATGTACCGATTGGTGCGTGCGTAAGGAATGCATGTATCCAAAGAGGAATAGACAGATGCAAGTATGTGTGTGCATGTGTGCGTGTGTGTATACCGTGCATGCATGCCTGGAGGCACCCGTTAGTACGAATTTCAGGGTGCATTCATGCATGCGTGTCGGCATCGGTTAGTACGAATATCAAGATGCATGCATGTAAGCATGCATGCACGCATGCACGACCTCGTAGGGTTTTGTGTTGTTAGTCAGTTCGTGTGCATGTTTGCTCGTATACAGAGACAGATGGACTTGCACAAACGCATCCCCTCTGCAGAGACAAACGCCAGCGCAAGCGCAGCACCGGTTGCCGGGAGCAAGCGCGCCACTAGCGCGTGGTGTAAGTACACCAGAAAATGCACAACCCGACAAAACTGCTGATAAAGACGCGTGCACATAGAAGCGTTAGGTATGAACGGTAAGAACGCGTTTAAGAAGCAACTGCCAAGAGGCCGCTGGAGAAAACAAACAAAAAACCCAAATGCATAATCTGCAAATTCCGCGGAACATTTGGGGAGGAAGCGGAACAGGTGCCTATTAAAGACCCCTTTCCGTCGATAATAATACTAAAGTATTATTATATATGCACTGTGTATATACCTACGACACATGCAATACACATTCAACTCGCTAGGGTGTATTGACAGGTCCGCTCGAACCAAGAAGCCCCGTCGGTGCCTGTCTCCGCCTCCCTGGCTGTCTCCTTCTGTCCCCCCCGTTTTTCTGATGGAGACCAAAACTGCGTGAGGCAGTAATGCACATGACAAACACTTCCAGTTACACCTGCTCCGGCAGCAGCTGTTCCCGTTGTCGCCGCCGCCTAATCAGTTTTTTAGCGCTGCAGCAGCAGCTACTGTTGTTGCTGCTGCTGCTCGGTATCCGCTTCCCTTGTTGCGCTGCCTCCAGGTGTGCCTTCTGGTGGTGATGCTGCAACAGCGGCTGCAGCACCTTCTTCGTCCCGTATATCGTCCTGTTTGCTCTTCTCGGCTACGCTTGCAGCAGGTGGTCCTGCTGGCTGTGCGGCTGCAGCTTCTGCCTCTGTATCGGCTGGCGCTGGGACTGGTGCTGCGTCTTTCGCCTCCGCTGTTGCTGCTGGTACTACTTCTGTTGATACTTGCACTTCTGGTGGAGCACCAGTATCGTCACTGGCTGGCGTGGGAGGGGTTGTAGTGTCCTCTGCTGCTTCTGTAACCCCACTTGGCGGTGCTCCTGTGCTTGCTGCAGCTGCCTGCTGCTCCATATCTGCAGCAGCAGCAGCGACGGCATCCCGGTCGCCTAAAGACGGAACAGCAGCTGCAGCTGCCGCAGAATTTTCCTGAGTTTCCTCTGCTGCTTCCCCACGCGTTCTCCTGGCTGGCCCGGACGTTGTGGCTGGAGTGACAGCCTGGTCCATGAAGATGTTGGGGACTAGCCAGAAGGTGAGGGAGATGGGTAGGAAAGGGCAGATGCCCATAGCGAGGCCGATGCCGAGGGGCAGATTGCTAAAGTCACACTTGGTTGCCTCGCTGGTGGCAAGGGTTCGAATGCCCAAGAGGGTGAAACACAAGAAGTTGCCGCTCAACTTGGACATGGACTGGGCGAAGTTCTGCAACCCAGCAACGACTGCATACATTGTGCTTTCGATGTCTTTAGGGCAAAGTCGCGAAATCAAGACGCAGCCCGGCATGAAGGCCCACATCGAGGCGACCTCCTCAATGATGGAGGCCGAACAGAAGTACCAGGCTTTGTCAGGAATCCCTATCTTGCGGTTCCATCGCATCACCATCGCGATGTCAAGAATGCAAGTCATCTGCTGCAGCACGGAAGTCACCAGGAAGGCGCGGCGAAAGGTCCAGCGCGAAACGAAACGCTGAAACAAGGCCACGCCCACGAAAGCAAAGATGGACTGTGCCAATGCGTTCCACGTCAGCAAGTAACTCCAGCTGAACTGAGGCCCGTCCTCAACGCAATCTGGGCCCGCACGCAGCCAGTAGGAAAACTGAGACGAAATGTTTGGCACCAACATGCGGCCCAAAAACATGTACAGCACGGGCTTCGCCAGGTGTGAAGGCATCGTACACACCACCGTCGTCGTTATGCAAACTCCGGAACAAAACCAGTAGCTTATCCCCACTATGTGCATCTTGTCGCTCAATAAACCCGCTACCATCGAGCCAAATGCACACACCGTCAGACACAACGCGCATGCGAACAAGCGCCCGTGCTCAGACAGCAGGAAACTCTGCAGCAAAACACGCCCACAGGGACATCCTACAATAAGAACCCACAACACGAGCCCAGTCCAAAAACGAAACATCCCATCACACAAAACTCGCAGCGGGCTCAATAAAGGCCGCAAAGGAGGTCAGCGCCTCCGGGCATGTCAGAAACGAGTGATCCGAGCTCGAGAAAGCAAGGAGAAAAGATAGTGTACGCGAACAAGCAGACGGAAGATAATAACGCAGCCCCAATATGCTGTTGGAGCTCGGTAAACAACGACTAGCTAAAGAAGTTAACGATTTTTGCGGCCCACATTGTGTACAAGGACGTGCTCCTAAACTCCCGATAAAAAGAGGAGCGCTCCGCTATTCTAATTGCTTATGAGGGCCTGTAAATCAAAAGTGCTGGTAACAGCTACAACGAGTGTACCGTATTAGGAAATACCTTGAATCTGTCATCTTTGGGGATATACGCCTCGCCCACAACTCCCGCGTGCGTGTGCCAGGCCCTGAATGGCCAGGGCCAAACGAGGAGAAAGAGCTGCTGGGTGCAGAGAGGCAGGAAGGGAGCCAAAACGACTTGAAAGGGAAGGTGGTCAACCACAGGACCGACCCACACCGCCTGTGCAAATGTGCCTATAGAGGAACAAAGCCAAACGAAAGAAGTAAGGGCAGCTCCCGTGTGGGGCTTCTCCGCCATTCTCCGGGTGTATGAACCCTCGCACAACAAGTCGTTAAAGCTCGCCTGCACCATGATTAAAAAGAAGCCTGCCACCGCTATGCCCATGGTCAAACGGCCGGCAGAGGCTATCAGTAGTATAGACCCTATGACGCCGCTGCACGAGGCAAGCAGCATGTAGGACCTTTTATGATATCCTCCTAGAGCAAACAAATCCGAAACGGAACCCACAATGCCCTTGACACTCCAAGGGATCATGAAGAGCGCCGTCGCCACACTGTGCTGCTCAGCCGGTAGCTTCAGGACCTCCCGAAAAACAGGGGTTGAGGCGGCTATTGCCATGTGGTAGGCTGCGCCCTTCAGAAACAAATAGTTTGACATCAGGCATAAAAGCAAAGAACCACCAAACTCCTTGTGCAAACGTGTGAAGTACAGCAACGGCGACCGGCATGGACGCAAGCACAAACGGCTGCACAGGCTGCGCGACCCTGCGCCGTCAGAAGCAGCATCCTCTGACTTCGCTTGGTCCGGGGCCACAGTTGGCAACTCTGAGTCATTTCTGAACACACAAACACAAAAATGCAAAGATGGCAATTCGTCAAACGCAGGAAAGACGTACAACATTGCTGCCGGTCCAAGCAGTCTTGAACTGCAGGCGGCAACGAGATGGCAAACGAAGCATCCACAAGCCATAAACCCAAGAGCATTCGACGAAGAAACGCTGTATGCCACAAACGCCTAGGTAAAGAATTCTTACTTTGGAGCTAAGCCCTCAAGAGCAGCCAACTCAAGCGCAGCGTCCGAGACATCTGGCGCTGGCACCGCAGCTGCATTCATCTTGAGGGATTTACGCTCTCTAGATATGTTCTATCGTTGATTTTTCCTTTGTTGGTTCCTTTTCATTTCCACAAACAGCCGTTTCGGTCTGCCCGGGCACATTAGTTGCAGCTATTTCGGCCGTGCCGTTCGCGCACAGCTTCCCGATGCTACCAGGCAGCCGCCGTCTTCAACCTCTAGCAGCTTGAATTCCACGAAATATCTGGAAACGTAAAGGAAAAAACTGGAAGAAATACAATAAAACCGGCGGCTGCAATGGAGGGGAAAGGCAGGAAGTAGGAGGCGTGAAGAACACGTTCAGCCTGTGGAAATTTGGGGGTCCAGGGGACGAAAGACATTTATAAATGAATTTATCGGCATATCAGTAGAGTAGCAGTGTGAATACGGTTTTATAAAGCAAGATCTTTCAGCACAAAGCCACAAGATGGCGCTACGTGGGACTGCAGCGGCCCCGCGAAGATGACCGTGTAACCGACTATGTGGACAATTTGGAGTGAAAACCCATGACAAGCACGAACACAAGAAACTCACCAGATATGTTTGTCAAAACGAAGGAAGAACGGAAAAGAGATGCAGGTTAAATACTGTGGGTAGCTCCCTAGCTGTGCGTTGAGGCGTGTTTATCAAAGTTGGTAGCCTCTGAGACCGCTGGTGGGTGGGGCGTGCTGACGGCGAACTGACCTTCCTTCTTCCCTAAATCAAAATCAGTTTCGCCTCCAAAAATCACTTTTAGATTGGAAATATAGTATCTTCAATGTATGTTCAGCTCGCTGTACGGAAATCTCCCCGACTTTTCAGTTAGTTTCCCTCAAGCAGTGCAGGTATAACAAGCGTCCTCGATGTTAGCAGAGGACCGTCGTGGTCTGTCATACAGTCATAATACCTAATTAGAGTTCCAAAAACCAGCTGGCTTCGCCTTCAGCATCAGGCCGTCCAGCGCACTGTGGCTGAAGGGCCTGAGTCTCGTGCGGAACAGCGCTGTGTAGCGTGATCCGAAACGCGCGAGTCCTCAACCTTACCCCTTGGCTATTGCGAGCTGCAGTAGAAACAAAATACCTGAGGTAAGAATTCTTTAGAAGCATCTGGACTCCTTCTCCAGTCTCCAGCTTCCTCAGCTAAGAGGTGCAAGCGCATGGAACCGCGTATGAGGAAGCGGCCTACCACAACTAGCAACGCACTACACACCTTGCTGCAACTAAAGGTGGAGCACAATCTCGCATGTAATCAGTAATAAGGCCTTCCTGGCCGCATGCACTAACACTTTTGCTCACTGTTGAAGGCTTCTACTTGCGTACCGGTGGCCTACTGCAGACGAGTCTATGTGACAGCTTCCGGATCTGGCCCAGCACTCGCGTAAGCAGAGGCAACATATGCCATTTTCGTCTCTGAATATTGCTGTATTGGCATGTAATTTCCTCGGGGTGCTGCGTAGTCAAGGCGGCTGTCGGCTGCTTCTCTTCTTCCGCTCACTTTGTATCCGTGCAGCACGGCATCTTCATCTAGCCAACGGTTTTTTGGCCAGGATTCTGAAGACATGGTGTTGCGGCAGCCACGCAGAAAACTTCTACCGGATGTGTAGAGCATATTCCACCGCGCTGTGGACCTTGATACTGTTGGCTCTTACGGGTTTAGCCGCTCCTACTTTTTGCGGAACCAAGCAGAAAAACGGTATAATTTGCCTTGGTTGAGTGAACAGTGATTTTGTTGGCACTAGCCGACTTCACACGTTGACCAGATAAGAGGAGATGAGCCAACAGGTGTGCAGAAAAGGTGTCTGTAGGCAGTGTACCACTAAGCAGCAAAATAGGTCGTTGGCACATAATGCACAGTATGCGGAATAACGTGGTTCCCCAATTTGTGACGATAGCAACGGCCACCGAATAATTAAACGTGTGTCAACCTTATTCGGCACTGTGCACGCAGATTGCTGCAGTAAGTGCCGACGGAGTAGGGATAGTATGCCGTTTTTCACAAGAAATTGCTTCGCCGAAATGATCATCAGAACACCATTCTGATTGTTGCTATCCTGGCCATTATCACTTTCTTTGGCTTCTACGAGGTGTTTCACGAACACTTAAGAATGCAGCCATCTCTTGTGGCTCTCACCACAACTTTACCGACTCCTTGCAGGGAGAGTTTGGCAGTATGCCGATTATTTCTCAGTTGAGTAATGACTTCGGGCCGCCAAATATCTCGTCGGTTAGGCTAGCGTTGTCTCTGTACATATTAGGGCCGACGAAGAGTAACGAGTTGAATAGTTCGTTGTCGTACCATACACCCATTCCGCAGAAGAGAGGCAACTAAGCCACTTGGAGGAAACACTTGCTGAGTACACGGCTGCGGGTGGTTGGTGTGTTCAGCTTGATTGTTTGCCTCCGGATGGCTTGGGGTGGTCACGTTATGGTCGATATTAAGCCGTTTCATGAATTCGTGCCAACAGGCATTAACGAACTTTGGGTTTCAGTAGGAGAGGGTGATTTCCGCAGAGTCATGAAGCTTATGGAGAGTAATAATGAATATTTGGTCCGCTCCTTCTGCACTAAACGAACTTCAGCAGAGGTGCAATAGGCATGGGTGCAGGGCATATCTACCACGATGATTATGTAGATGGGATTGTAATCTTCCACGGCCGATAAGCCCACAACGAAGCCCACTAAGATATGCACACCTATATCCACTTGGGGATGTTTTTCAACAGTCCGGCTTCGATAGTGTTTTGCAGCTGTTGCTGCTGAATTTGAGGGATGGTCATAATGTACTCCTGCACTAATCCATCCCGGCAAACCACAGGGACATCGCCATTCGCTAGACCGTTCAGCAGACGCCACCGTGACAAGACAAAGAACGATCATCCACTTTTCGAGAAGCTTCCGTGCGAAGTGAACATACAATCTGCGCAGTCAAACTCCGTCTGGTGCCACAATAGTTGGCCATAGGTACTGTACTGTTTTAGCGCCGTCCATTGTTGAGGATATGAAGCTTCTGGTAGGTCCGTCTTCAAGAGGGGCAGAGTCTTGGCTTCCCACGCCTACCAGTTGATTTCGAATTGCACTGGCTTGGTGGCCAACCAACGGTCTGTGCTAGTCTCCCATCCTTCCATTCACTCCCCTGAAATCCACATCGGCAACATATTTGCCGAGCTAGTCGAGTACCTGTCCCTAGATCCCCTATGGACCGGCAAATCCGTATCCCATTTTTCTGCAGATAACTGAAACACCTCTGCTGATCGACGACGCAGTGGCTACAAGTTTTGAATCTCCAAACTGCCCCATAACTAATGGCTAATACAGAGCACATACACGTAGACGCAAACATGTACCTGTTTTCCACTACAGCTAGTTTAACAGGTTTGCTAGGCGGTTGGGCCACCAGTGCCAGGAAGAATAAGCCCCAGTTAGCTTTTGTGTAAAAAGCGCAGAGTGTGATCATACTTCAATGCGCAAAATGCATAATAATGCGAAATTCGCCACATCTTCAAAAGGATCTTAGGGATCTGCTTTCGTTTCCGTAGTGGCGCTAACAATATATACCTTCTAAACTACAAACAAAGTTGTCACTTGCTGGACAGCGACAGGACACGCGTCTCGAAGCGCTGACGGTCCAGCAGCCCCGCGACACTCCCTTCTCGCAAACCAACAGCTAAGCTACGTGTTCAACCATCCACAGACGAAGCCACAGCAAATAAGCAGAGGTGGTCTATTTTGTCTGCAAAAGACGAAACCACAACTGGGGGAAAGTTGGGAGAGGCGCATTGATGACTCACCAAGGACCTTGGCAGTGAATCGACTCGAGTGACAAGCACACGCCCTCACACCGGTGACACTGCATGCAAGTAGATGCCATTTCCTCTATCCGTGTACTTGAATTGAATTAAACTGAATTTAGAAATTAAAATAGGAAAGGGGGAGGCCTGTGCTATTAACGTTTACGAACGAAGTATGCATGCGTGTGCGCTTCGGGCGTTCGCTTTCTGCAGGCACACCAGTGGTTCTCATCATTTCCGGTAGTGGCTTGTAACTCATATTATCTCTTCCCCCTTAATAAAGTTTTTATTTTCCATCCTAGAAGTTCGAAAAGGAGACTGTACCGTTAGGTGACTGCCGGTTCTCTAGAATTATCCGTCTTTCCTTTATTTTTTCAAGGTCGACGTCGCCCCTCCAATTTGACCTGCCGAATCGCAACGAATTCTTGAGTTTCTCTGGCCCTGAGTGCCTTTGGGTCATGTGAGAGTACTGTATTGCAGACGTATCCCTTGCTTTTTTGTGCGAATATGTCGTACACAATGTGCCCTTACTATACCCCATGTGTTTCGTGGAATGTCATGGTACCCCAGCCGCCGACCCCCCAAGTATATTACTACTATGTTCCGTCTAGTTGGACTTGCCTTCCATGTTCCGTATCGAAGTGCTGCTGCGCAAACTGCTGCTGCTGCTGTCGCTGCAGCAGCAGCAAATCAGCCGTGGCGGTGCCTGCAGTTTCTCCCCAGCCTGCAGAGGTGTCTCCTGCTGCTCCCTTCCCGCCCCGTGCTGGTACTGTACAGCTTGAAGGTCAGGTACAAATACACTCAAAATCCCCGGAGGCTACGAGAAGGGATGATACCAGAAAAAAGGATGCAGGTGAAATCGAGAAGGGCTGGAGACGGGTCAGTAGTCTCCCGCGCATGCGTGCAGAGAAAGCGGCAAGTGAAGACTCATGCAGCAGCTACAGTTCCAGGAATCAGAGACGCGGGGATCGGGGAAGGCGCATGCGCCCCAGCCCCGAAGGCCGGGGCCGGTGCGAAGGAACGTTGATTATCAAAGGGCTGCCAATGCTCGAGATAAGGGAGGAGAGAAGAAGACCCTCACACAGCCGAGATAGGGACTGTATGCTTAGAGGGACGCTTACATTCAACACGCAGTAGTTCTGCTTTCCCCAAGCACAATCTCTTGAAAGAAATACTGTCGCTGCAGCATGTGGCGCTGCTGCTGCGGTGGAAGGGGGGGGGGGGGGGC